GCTGTTGGTAGACATTTAGGTGGTTTCCATGTTTTTGTAGCAGTTGTGAGCAGTGCTGCAATGAGTTTAGGTGTATACACGGCTATGCTGCTGCTTTCAAGGCTCTTGGGATATACTGTATATATTTGAGTATAAGCTGACCCAAATAGCTGCGAGGCACCTAATTTTACCCCAAAAGCTGCATTAAAAGTGTGCTGAAAAACTTGGCTTATACAAATGTTTTGAGAATGATGATGGCAACAAATGTACAAATGTGCTGGACACAATGGATGTATGTATGGATTGTGATAGAGTTGTACGAGCCCCCAATAAAATGATTTAAAACAGCAACAACAAAACTTAGCTTATACTTGAGTATATATGGTACCTAGTTGTAGAATTGCTGAGTCATATGGTAGTTTTATGTTTAACTTTTTGAGGAACTGCCATTTTGCATTCATACCAACTGTTTTATACCTTTAACCCTAAGTAATGAATGCATGTTGCTTGAATTCTGCACCCAGAGGCCAGCAGTACTAGTTGTACTCTCTGGCTTGTGTAAAGTTCCTCCTCTATAGGTTTAGTTAGTTCTGAACCCTAGCCTCAGCAGGGGAGCGGCACTCTCTAAGGTTGGTGTTCGTTGTCTCTGTTTTGTTCAACTTTAATTAGCTCACATTTGATTTAATCACTGAGCTATCAATGAAGCAGCCCTGGTGGCCTCGTGGGATAATTTGATCCTGGTACGAAGAGCATCTTTGCTGCCTCAAATAGTATCTAGCATAAGGTGTACCAAAAAGAGCATCAGATCTTGAGGAAATTTAAGCAACAGAAAGCCATTATCTGGGAAAGGGAAAATTTTTCATCTGTCTACATTTTGGCCCGGAGCACTTTAGCTGGTGTTCTTAATGTTATGAACAAATGCTTCCTAGTTATAATGAAGTGTATGCTATTCAGTGTAGGCTGTATATACATAGGTTGCCTGGATTAGCCCCCTGAAATGAATTTGGGGTTTTGTGGTTTTTTTTGGTTGGGTACCATAGAGTAGGCTCTGACTCACACCGACTCCATGTGACAGAGCAGAACTGTTTCCTAGGGTTTATTGGGTATCATCGTTACAGAAGCAGATCACCAGGCCTTTCTCCCTCAGAGCCACTGGGTGAGTTGAACTGCCAACCTTCAGGTTAGCAGCTGAATGTTTAACTATTATGCTACCAAGACTTCTTATGTGATGTTAGGGGTTGGTAAATGGTTAGCAGCGGTACTGCATAACTGCAGCATAGAAACATATATATATTTTAAAATCATTTTTTGGGGTGCTCTTACAGCTTTTAGAACATTCCATACATCAGTTGTATCAAGCATATTTGTATATATGTTGCCATCATTGTTTTCTAAATATTTACTTTCTATTTGAGCCCTTGGTATCAGCTCCTCTTTTTATCCCCCTCCCCTTTCTCTCACCTTCAGGGACCCTTGATAAATAATAAGTTATTATTATTTTCATATCTTAAAACAACTGATGTCTCCCTTCTGTTGTTTGTACCCCTGGGTGGGTGAGGGGTTATGCATCAATCACTGCGATCACCTTCCTCCCCCTACCCTCAAGGTATCCCTACTCCCATTTCTGTACTTGAGGGGGTCATCTGACCTGGATTCCATGTGTTGTGAGCTCTTGTCTATATCTAGTGTGCATGCTCCGGTCTAGCCAGAACTGAAAGGCAGGACTGGAGTCACGATAGTGCGGGGTGAGGAAGCCTCAAAGAACCTGAGGAATACTGTGTGTTTCATCGATGCTATCCTGTGCCCTGGTTGACTCATTCCTTCCTTGTGACAAGATAGAAATATTCTTAAGGATCTTTTTTTTTTATTAAATCATTTTATTAGGGGCTCATACAACTCTTATCACAATCCATACA